AAAGTAGATGATGAACAAAATGGTCAAATAGTGGGAGACAGGCTGGAACTTAGTGCAGAAATGACAGACCTTCATTTGTTTAAAAAATGCCAGCTGGGATCACACAAAGATTTCGGAAAATAAATAGATATACAGTGCAGAAATCTTAAACCCAAATGCATTCCTAAATGTTATCTCATGCTCCCCTCATGTGAATACTCTCTTCTTTAAGATTTAGTTGTTTCATAAAGATATAAAAAGAGGTAAAGAGTAACATGTTTAATTGCTGACCAGTAATACAGATTTTATTAACTTCCATCTTTACCAGAAAACCAACCCATTGCATCTTTCTCCATCATGTTTGACTGAACTTTTGGCAATCAAATGAAAATGAAATCACAGAAACTCAAAAAAAAAAAAAAAAAAAGAAAATTTTGGGGTTTTGAGAGGTGCTAAGTAGTTTTTCTGTAGTACCATGTAAGGCTAGTAAAACTGTTAACAAAATGCTTATGAGAGGAGCTCTGGAACTGAGTTTACCATTGCTTGGGTGGTCCTCCTGAAGTCACAGACACTTCATGTACCTATATCAATCCCTACTGACAATCTGAAATTGGAAAATATTTTCACAAATTAATCTAAAAAAGATTGTGGAGTTTTTATATAAAAAATGATACGTCATATTTTTCTCCAACTCTGATCATCCTATAAAGAAGCATGCTGCAACACATACTGACTTTCTCATTGCAGAACAGATCATCTTTTATAGAAAGAGCATGGACAGAAGCATACAAGGTAAAAAAATGGTATACTCCTGCACAAGAGATCTATGCTTTACTCAGATTTTGTAGTAGTTCGGTAGTAGTTAGGAACTTACAACTGAATCTACACACTGGGATACAGATCTGCTGACCTATTTGTGCAGCGATATCCAAGATTTTAAATTCCTCGCATTTCACTGATGTTGGAAAAAATTATGAATACTTCATAACACTTCAGCCAACTGTACTAGTGAGTGAAGATATAGCATACGTTTTTAAGGCCTAGAAAAGAAAAGCTGTCTTTTATCTAGATTAATAGCTTAATGACTTGGCTATAGGCTCACTTTACTTCCCATTAGCTCTCCATAAGAAGCTATAAAATTTGTAGCTATAAAATTATTTCCTTGACAGACAAGAACAGCTTCTTGTATTTCTTGTCAAGAATTCCTACAGAATAAGATGTTTACATATTAATGCCAGCTCTGTTTCACAAACAAAAGTAAAATCAGACATTTTTAGTTCCATTTTATGATGATCTAGTTGTTCTGAGTAGTTCTACCAGAACTGCTACTTTGGTGAATTTAGGTGATACTGTGTGGTTTCTGGATTCCAGTAATGAACCAGATTGTAGTATGACTTTAATGAGACACAGTGGACCAGTTGGCTTTTGACATGCAGATAATGTAGAATTAAAAAAGCTCAATAAATCTCAGTGACAGCTAGTCTCAGTGCCTCCAGAGTTACCCGGTTTAGTGGCTATTGGTTATAGAAACTTAAATGAAGTTTCAAATCTCAGTCCACAGTACTGCAGAAGTTGCCTTAATCTTGAAAGGACTCACAGAGTTGCATAACAATCTCTGTATTCCCGCACATTTTCTCTGTGTAGTGTGTTTGCTTGAATAACATAGCCAAAGTGCTTGGAGGACAAAACAGGCTAATTAATTTCAGCTATCTTCCTGAGAAAAACAAGAAACAGTGAGTAGTCTGTGCTAACCAACTATAATCAAGCAACAGAAACTTGAAATTCCATATGCCACAGTGAAGATTAACCACTCTGCTACTAGAAAATTGAACACTTCATGCACAAACAATTTATGAGTCAAACAGCTCAGGAACTACAGTAAAAAACAAACAAACAAATCAACCCCCAAAAAACCCAAACCAAACCAAAAAGACTCAAACAAACCCAACCCAACAAAAAAAAAATTCAATCTATTATGAATAGTTCATTCTCTATTACAATTAAGTCAGTATAATTCTTGAAAAGCACAAGGTGGATACTAGCTTAAGCATTAACAGAATTGTTGAACAAGTTCAATGTAAGTTTTATTTACTTTTATATGTTAAAACATATAATGCATAAACCAAAAAGGGAAGAGCTTAACTTCAGATTCTAGGTTCCATATGAAAGTTTGGTCACTGTGAAACAGGATTTTTTTTGCTTTTCAGAATTAACCAATTTGCTCTAGAACCCCCCCAAAAAACATTAGTGCATGATCCTCACAATATCATTTTTACAGTGCCTCCTTGCTTCTCTTTCCAATTTATTTAACAACACAGTCTTCAGTGACTTCAATGTGGGCCTGAATGGAGCTTTTCAGTTTATATAGAGCACCAAATTCACAAAAGAATGTTAGACTTTTTTTTTCCCCTAGTTATCCTATGAATAGCATTCAAGATCAGGATTTGTCATCCACTTTCCATGCTTGCAAGCAAAAGGGGTAGTTAAAAGGCAGTTTTAATATTATAGTAAAATAATTAAGATCCTCCCCTCCAGTTCAATGTCATTAAAAGACAACACTGGTTTTTTATAATGCCAGAAAATACTGTATGCACTGATACTACCTGTTAATATGTACATCCTGTACATTTCTGCAGAAAGGTAGCAAAATTAATGTGCAAAGTAGGCTGTCTACAACCTTGAGGAACACTAAAGTTTTCTTAATTCTTTTTTTCTTTTAAAGTAAAAAAAGAGGTTTTTCTGTGCTTTTCTCTGGATTGACAAGTATAGGCTTTTTTTTTTTTTTTTGTAAATCTGCTTCTTCAAGTCAAACATTAAATTAATTTTAGTAAATAGATAATTTTACACACTGTGCTCATTGGTTATTTGTGAAAGTCTTGCTATTTCACCTAAATTCACAGCAAGATTCAGAAAAATTAACAGAATTTTAAGACCCACAAAAATACCAAATTTGAATTATTAATTTGGTTATTTTCTCATCTTCACAACTGAAATTAGTTTAAAGCTCATCTTCCAAAGAAGAAACATGGTTAAAAAAAGCAATTGTCCATTTTTATTTTGTTTACATTGCACTGAAAATTTACATCATACTTTTACAAATCCTTTTTCATAAAAATATACTTCTTTACAAAAGTGTATGCATTAATATAAGAGGAGTAGCCAGTTGCAGAAGAAACAGTTTAAACGATCTCAAATGTATTAACCTTAACATTAATGAATGAATCATAGTTATTGCAGTCATTTGAATAAACAAGAATAAATAATAACCAATGGTATAAAATATAAAACAGCATCCTTTTAGTAGAATACAGTTTGACAGAGTTGTATGAACATTCAAAACAAAGTGTTGTAAAATGGTTTATAAGAAATTCATCAAACATTGTAGAAATCCAAGCAGCAATCCTGGGTACAATGATTTTTGGTAGGCACTCTCTATTACGGTAATAAAAAGTTTAGATTTTCACAGAATTATTAATGTCTGAAAGGGACAATAACAGATAATTCACACTGGCTAACACACAGCATTTGTGAGTCATGCTATGAATGGAAGACAATGACCTACATCAAATAAATTACTGAGTTGCCACTGAATAATTCTGATATGAAATAACTGTAAAACCAAAAATTACATTTCCTTAGAAGTGATTCTGGAATGTCTCAAACTTGTATCTGAGGGCTGTGAAACCTGAATTGTCCCTAAAATGAATGGATTGTCCCTAATAAAATCATGGCTTTATATATGTGTATATATATATTTAATATTTTTGTTTTCATTGCACTATGGTAATATATTCAGTTTTAAATCATTAGCTGTAAGGATTTTTGTCCATAAAGTACGGAATATATAGATAAAATAGATGTAAAAACGCAGTATTTCCAAATTATAACTTCCGCTTGCCTTATAGGTCTGATCCAAAGTTCACTGAAGTCTGTTAGAATCCATCAACTTCAATGGGATATCGCCATGCTTTGTGCATGCATTTTGACAAAATACTGAAGGAATACACTGATGTGATACGGTTTAGATTTAACTAGCATGGATTGAAAAATGGACTCTTAAATTTTTGTTATATGGATTTGATTACTAATATTACTGTAAACTGCACTTTTTAATTGGGAATATCATTAAATTACGTTTTCATATTTGAAAAAAATGTAAGATGGTCACTCTTTTGAATGATCTTCAACAGTAAGGAACATAGCCACATGATAAACCCAATTCATATTAGCTTCTTGATTGCAAAATTTGTCTAGTTGTATGATTGACAAAAGAAATGTAGAAACATTACCATTCGTGGGTATTGTTAATGGAAACATAGAAAAGGAGCTTTACCTGGAACATGAAAAGGAAGCAAGATGTGAAGCAGGGAAGGAAATTCATTAAATAAGAACCTGACATTTTAATTTTTCTTCTGTGACGTGAAAAGAGTAACTTGTACTTGCTAATTTCTGAATACTACATCCTGGACTTAAAAAATTAAATGTTTTGAGAAAAATGAAATACTAAACGGGCTGAATAAATGAAAAAAAGGTACAAACTCAGGAGAAAGATGTGGCATATGACTGTTAAAGAGAAGTCAGTGATCTATTGTCTCCTGTAAGTATAGCTCTTATTTTCTACCTATATCTTTTTTTTAACCCAGTCCCTCTATTATAGTTTTTATAAAGCACAGAAATACTGATAATGGATGCTCCTCCAATATATGCAAATATGTTTTATGTTTTAGAATAACCTCCTTTTTTAAAAAAGCAAATAAACTGTGAGTAGCACTCATGGAGTGCAGCAAATTTTTTTAAAACTCTCCATGGTATACACAAAGAAGAATTCTGATCCACTTTATCAAAAACAAAATCAAAACAAAATAACCACAACCCATTCTTGTCTATCATCCTCAGGAAAAGGTGACCCAGTATATCCTGAAAAGTGTGCTTTAATTTTTTTTTTTTTTTTTAATTAGTGAACTGTGTGTGCACTTTGTTGTGTGTCAATTTCCAGACTTTGAAGACATGTCATTACCACATTATACCATTGTGCAAACGGTGTTCAAGTTGGGGTCAAATCGTACTGCTTTCCCTTCCACAGATTTTGCATTTGTGTCATACATGGGGTTTTCAAAAGCAGCTTGTCCATTATTATTTTCATGTACAGAGCATCCTGTATACTGTGTTTTAGGTGCAGTCCTGTAGAAGAAAGACAGAGTATTTGTAACTGCAGTTTTCCTCACTGACTCGATGTGGTTTAAGAATCTGAACAGAATTTAGCTCCCAATTCCAATTATGGGAGCTAAATAGAACATCTCAACTTTTTATGCAGTATCTGTGCTAAGAATTAGTACTCTCTTTATCAAAGTTTAAGGGATTTATGATTCATTTAAAATGGTGTTCACTTAAATACTTAACAACCTGAGAAGACACAGGCATTTCCACTTGGATGATCAGATAATAAATAGTTAAGAGTACAACAAAATCTTGTAAAGATGCAACAAATCCTCAGCCAGATGACTGAGATTTTCTTTTTCCCTTTGGACACTCAACAAGTTTATCAAGAATGAATTTATAGCTGAAACATTTTCTTTTTTACTAAATAACTCAAAATATCAATGTTCAATCACTTGAAAATGTTTCATCTATATTGTTATGGAAAATGTATACTGTACTGTAAATCATCAATGTAAAAAGTAAAGACGTGTTTATAGCACAGTTAATAGCAAATGTACAAAAAAATGACATGAACATTTTTTCATACTCTGAAGCAGTTAAAAAACAAGTGGCACCGTTTAAAAATGATGGTATGTGTTTTAAACTGATGTTATCCTGTGGAGTATATTACAATTATTATTGTCAGGCTACCAGACATAAATCACCATTTTGACAGCTAGTAGGCAATGAGTTGTCTTGTCATTAAAGTGACTAAATTTTCTTTAGTCATCTAATGCTTTAAAGCTATAGGAAAAGATTACTTGACACTAAATCCAAAGAACTCATACTGGTCTCAATAACATGAAGAAAACTGTTGAACTTAGACTAATGAAATTGAGAAGACTGGTGGCTGTGTAACTTAATTGCGTATGAACTAATAATTTCAGATGCAGAAACATTTCCATAATGAAACCTCTCAATGACATAATACTTGCATATACTTGCAAGCCAATAAACAGAGCAGGCATTAAAACAAATTACTAAAGATATGACTCATAATTCTGTCACATGTAAAAAAATAATACAGGCAAACTACAGTAAGTAGACACAAAGCTTATTAATTATATTATTCCCCATATTCCAATAATTTATAGCATCCATTTTGTTATCATAAAGAGAGAAATTTATAACATTTTAAATAAGTAGGAATGAAAGTATAGTGCGGTAAAATAAATTGATTTCTCAACCATTATGCCAGACCTTAATGGAGGTAAGAAGAACTGTCTACATGCATATTTTGCAAATATTTTGTGGTTTTACAGAAAACTTTATTTACACTAATAAAGACTGAAGGCAATAAAAAACCCCTCGTCATACAGGAATTCTATAGATGTAATTTGTACTTACCTTTGTTTATAAAGATAAAAGCCAAAACCAGCAAATATAAGAGCAAAGAAAGGCACAAGGATAGCAATGGCCACTGAACTACTATTTGTACCATGTGGTTGATTAGAAGAATTTGAACCCTCAGACATGTTAAGACCTAAAAAGAATAATAAGAAAAAACAAGTAATATAATATATGTGTCTTGTTACCCCCAGCACATACTACTCCATAAACTTCAGAATTCAATAACACCTTGTGATTGGGTCATCATAATGTGTTCAGCTGTATACATACAGCTGTATGCTGAGACCACCTGGAAAGTAACTGTAGTGTGGTAGACCATATTCTGATTAATAAGTGGATGCAAAATGTTGGGAGACAATACATATACCCTGGTACAGTAAATATCTTACTGAATAATTCTGCATGGGATTCAAGTTTTGGATATTATTAATACATGTTAATGTACTGTGTTACAAAAAGTCAAATTTATAACAACCTATATGTTAAATTGATTTGATTACTGATTATATTTGTATATTTCAGAAAGAATAAATACTGGATGTATAAAAAGCAAACATGATTTCAAGGAAAGGGTAAATCACCTGGAGAGGCAAACTGAAAATTCATCATGTTGATTTCATTAGGCTCTGCTATTGATACATAGAGTGAAGGAGGTAGGAACAATTGTGAAGAGCTAAAGCCAGATATTGATGAAAAAATAAGATTATATTTGTATATTTCAGAAAGAATAAATACTGGATGTATAAAAAGCAAACATGATTTCAAGGAAAGGGTAAATCACCTGGAGAGGCAAACTGAAAATTCATCATGTTGATTTCATTAGGCTCTGCTATTGATACATAGAGTGAAGGAGGTAGGAACAATTGTGAAGAGCTAAAGCCAGATATTGATGAAAAAATAAGAATATGATGTGCTGCATGGTTGAGGAATACATTATCTAGACTATCTACACAGATAAGATATACACCTTTTTAATGTGAGGAAAGGAAAAACAATGCAGCTTCAAAGTTAATTTTTAAGCTTTGAACTGGACCTTTTAAGAATTGCATAGGTCATAATATTTCCTGACTTTTTTGATCTTACAAGGCAATATATATAAATGAAAAAAACACTCAAACAAACAAAAAGAAGCAAACACATAATCTATATACAAAAATACAGAAAAATAAATCAAATATTGTGAGGAAAATTCTATGGGAACAGCAATCAAAATATTTTGTTTCAGAGAAACCATTTTTCTGTTTGTGTGCATGAAATAATGAAATGGTAAACATGCTAAACAAAATCTGTTCAAGGACTGTAAATCTCTCTGTAACTGTATTATTGACTATATTAACTTCAATTAATTCTTGTCTAGAATTTAAACTGGAGTGAACCATTCTGTTCCTAGAAGATACAAACCAATAAAAAGTACCTTCAATATATTAAAGAAAAGAATCTTACAACTAAAAAAAAAAAAAAAAAAAAAAAATCCCTATGAAAATCAAATGAAGAAATACAATATTTATAAGAATCTATCAAGACAATTTGCCAAGGAAGTCTTGCATTTTAATTCGTTAGATGACTTTCAAATATTTTGAAGAAGTTAATAAAGGGAAATAACTTTTTATATTCATTATCTTGACTAAGATATTTCTAAAATTTCTTTGTAAAGAATTTGCATATGCAAATACAGTGAAAATCAAGATCAGAAGCAGTGCATTTTACTGTGACCTAGAATTGTGAAAAAGGAAAAATTTGCTTTTACCTCATACATTCATTAATAAATCTTTCCAGCACATTTAAGAATTAAGGAATTTCTTGATTTTACTGAAAAAATAAGGGTGCACAACACTTCGCGGCTGAAAGAACCTACTTTTGCCTCCACAGATAGGAATTTTATCTGAAGATAAGCACTCTATCTAAGAAGCCAATATATTAGTGAAAAATAATGTCTCTTTGTCCTGGTTTCGGCTGGGATAGAGTTAATTTTCTTCCTAGTAGCTGGTACAGTGCTGTATTCTGGATTTAGTATGAGAATATTGTTGATAACACACTGATGTTTTAGTTGTTGCTAAGCAGTGCTTACACTAGTCAAGGACTTCTCAGCTTCCCATGCCCTGCCAGCGAGAAGCTGGGAG